GTAATTCTGGTCACCCAACCAGAAAAGACAGTGCTCGTTTTTCTGAAAAACGAGTCCTTTTACAATCTGTTTCTTGTTGGGCACCCAAAAACATGAAGCCCTTTGGAAGATATTGACCTTAATGTTTTGCGGATAATCAACTGAACTAGAGAAAAAGCCATTATTCAGAATGTATATAAAAGGCACAATCATGAAAGAATTTTAAAAAGGACATTATCAAGTAAATATGCTCCAAATTCCATTTTAGTATCTTCCTAGAGTGCCTACCAACCAGACTGGATTTTAAAAGAAAAAAATTAGTTACCAACTATTTTTAAGCCACTGTTTTGTCAAAATCCTACAATATTTTTCTCTACCGTAGGACAGAAAAGACAAGAAATAACAAAGAGTTAGGCTTTTTAGTCTGAGAACTGCACTGACACCACTGATGTCGGGTTATTTTTAACAGTACTATTACAAATGCTGGAAATCATGGTTCACGTCCACATGCGGTAATACGAATATGATACATACACGTCGACTTGAAAACTACACATAAAGCAGTTTTCAAGCCATGGAGTGCAAAGAGGACAGAGACAGTTTTCTTTTGAAAGGAGATGAAGGTGGAGTTAGAAAGCAGGAAGGGTAGTACTTGATAGTGTCCTTTCAGAAGGTGGCATTCAATGGCCTCATTATTGCTGTGTATTTGCTAGTATTCAGCTTCTTACCAGATATATTTACAGCACGTCAGTCTGAACATTCCCAGAGCACAGCTCTACATTTTCCTTTAGAGATACAAACATAAAACAGTTAAATATATGTAGTCCTGTTTTAGAAACTGAACTTTTAAAGTTTAGGACTTCTATTGTGCTTCTTTGGCTAAGTCCTATTTAAATACCGATAACGCTTAAAATTCTATAACTCTGCCACTATTTAACAGCTAACAGAAATCTTTGGTGTGTTTAGGTTAAGAATCCATTAGGGTACAAGCTTCAAAATATGAACATTCAGGCAGCTCTGGCCCCTCTCCTGCAAACTGCACAACACTGAAGTAGACAGGGATTAAAAGAATCTAACACCAAAGTATTTGACCAGGATTTAAAATGATCCATGCCATTTAGAGTTCATAGAACGGGGATGATAAATGAGCTTTTCACTACAGATCACTTGTGCTCAGGTCATTGGATAAATTTAACAGTTACAATAATACACATAAATCCAGTTTCCCATTTTAAACTTTAAGATAATAATTTAGGAATAGGGAAAACGGGGGGAAATTTTGCCTTAACATGTAATTCTTGTGAGGAATAATGAAGACCATAAAATTTCTTCAGAGACTTTCTTTGGCATAATATTCACCAAACAAACACAGAATAATTATTTTTAAAGTAAGCTTAAAACAGAAAGCTTGATGAGCTTAAATTATACTAGATTTCATGGTGAATTACACTAGACTTGTAGTTCAAAATGGTTCTTTTGGGAAAAAACCTTATGTCTAGTAAAGAAAAAGCTAAAAATAATTAAAGACATAAACTATCCTCAAGAGTTTGACTTTGTTTTATAAACACAGTACAAGAAAGTGAGAAACAAAACAATTTCATTAGCAACTCACAAGAGATTTATAACTACTGATTATTTCTTTTTTTAAATAGAAGTTGAGTACTGTTCTGGAAATAATAGCCTTTAAATTTCTTCTCTATCACAGATAACCTGAAAACGGGCATGCTAATGTGGCACCCTGCTATAACTTATGCTCTAACAAGGATAAACCACGCCAATCCTTTATGACCTTGCAAATACTCACATTTCTGTCAAAGTTAAGAGTGTGGGGCACGCTTTAAAAGACAAACAAGATTGAAAAAGCAAGAAAAAATGCATATTAAAATTATATAGGACTAGCTGTAGAAAATTAGACAATACCATTGTCTAGATCTTCTTACATCATTATTACAGATCAAGGAAGAATTAAGAGGCCAAATTTAGGCAACCTAATTATACTCAGGGGGATCACCAAACACCCTGTTTAGTGTCTTTATAAAATATCTGAATCACTTTTCAGAAGAATCTAGTTCCTGTGTCCATTGGCTAGGCTCCACAGTCCGGCAGACTTTAAAACCCTCCAAAATGCCTGAGGGTTCAAGTAAAATTATATTTTAATTTCTATGTGAAACATAATTCATAGTCTGTGTTTTATATCCCTGCCTGCCCTCGCAACTTTTTATGAATTTGACATAGTCCTTATTCTTCCCGAATGCTTTCTATTATACTTAAAACATTAACTCAAAGTGAGATGCAAAAAGGCAATTTTTTTAAAAAATAATAGCCAGATATGTAATTACATTTTTTAGCCACTATCCGTAAAAGAGATCTCAGAGCATCATTTTTAAAAGACCATCTATAA